GCCGTTGTGCTTGAAGACGGTGGCCAAACCGAAATCGGAGATTTTCAAGTTGTCTGGGTGCAAATTTCAAATTTCCACATTTTAAAATGAAAAATTTAAAAGTCAAAATGTGAAAATTCCAAAGTAAAATTGAAAATTCAATTTTCAGATTTTAAAATAAAAATTTAAATTTAATTTAAATTAAAAATTCCAATTAAAGATGAACAATTAGAAACACAATGAGATCACCTCGCTCATCCAGCAGCAGGTTCTCCGGCTTCAGGTCGCGGTGGGTGATGCCGATGCCGTGCAGATAGACCTGGGATGGACGGGGACACGGCCATGGCGTCACCATCGCCCCGTGTCACCGCAGTGTCACCATCACCCAGCGCCCAGTGTCACCATCACCCCGTGTCACCATCACCCAGCATCACCATCGCCTAGCGTCACCATCACCAAGTGTCACCCCGTGTCACCATCACCCAGCGTCATCATCGCCCAGCATCACCATCACCCAGTGTCCAGTGTCACCATCACCCCGTGTCACTGTCACCCAGCTTGTCCAGTGTCACCATCACCCAGCGTCACCATCACCCCTTGTCACCGCGATGTCACCATCGCCCCGTGTCACCATCGCCCCGTGTCACCGCGCCGTGGCCCTGGCACTCACCACGCCCGCGATCAGCTGCTGGAAGAAGCGCTGCGCCTCCGGCTCCGGCATCCCGATGTCCGGCTCTGCACCGGGGAGAAGGGCAAGAGCCGTTCACAACCACCACTTACAGCTGCAATTCCAATTTCTGCTTTGGCATTTGAAACTCACATTTTCACTTTTTAACTTGAAATTTGTAGATTTTAATTTGAATTTTAAATTCAATTTTTAATTTGAATTTTTTCTTTTCAATTTGAAGGCTCAGTTTTTAATTGGGATTTTCAGTTTTAACTTTTAACTTGAGTTTGGCTATTTAATCTTTAATTTGTATTTTTAGTTTGAATTTTTACTCTTCAATTTTAATTTTTAACTTGAAAATTGTTTCCTTAATTTTTAATTTTAATTTTACTTTTAATTTGAAAGCTTCTAATTTTAACATTTAATTTTTAATTGCAGTTTTAATTTTGAATTTAGATTTTTAATTTTACTTTTTATGTTTTAATTTCAATTTTAGACTTGAAACTTGATTTTCATTTTTTTAACTTGAACTTTCGTCTTAAACTTTTACATTTTGAATGTCATTTTTTAACTTGAACTTTGAAATTTTATTTTTATATTTTAAGTCTGAACTTCATTTTGTAACTTGAACTTCAATCTTCAATTTCATTTTTTATTTCTCATTTCAATTTTTAAATTGAACTTTGAAATTTTATTTTGCTATTTAAGTTTGAACTTCATTTTTAAACTTGAACTTTAATTTTAAACTTTACATTTTAACTTTGAGTTTCATTGTTTAACTTGATCTTTAATCTTAAACTTTACTTTTACATTTTAACTTTGGGTTTCATTGTTTAACTTGAACTTTAAATTTTATTTTTAATTTTAATTTTTAATTTCAAGTTTTAACTTGAACTTTGAAATTTTACTTTTATATTTGAAGTTTGAATTTCATTTTTTAACTTGAACTTTAATCTTAAACTTTACTTGTACATTTTAAGTTTGGGTTTCATTGTTTAACTTGAACTTTAAATTTTATTTTTAATTTCAAGTTGAAATTTTACTTTTACATTTTAACTTTGGGTTTAATTTTTCAACTTGAACTTTAATTTGAATTTTTAAAAGTTTATTTCTTAATTTAAAATTTTAATTTGAAATTTTATTTTTCCATTTCAATTTTGATTTTCAATTTTGAATTCTGAATTTGAATTTTCCATTTTAATTTCAATTTTGAATTTCAATTTTGAATTTCAGTTTCAATTGTGATTGTTC